GCCTGTGGCTCAAAGGAGTAGGGTGCCAGCCCTATATACCAGAGGTGGCAGGTTCAAACCCAGCCCCAAACAAAAAACTACAAAAAAAAAAAAAAAGAATAAACTCTTAACCCAAGAGGAGTTCTGATGGTGTATGTGGAAAAGAGACAAAGACTCACAGAAAGATTAACATACTACTTTTTATTGCAAAGCCTCTGGGATGTTGAGGGATAAGGACCATAATTTTATTTGGTTCATACTAAAGGGAGAATATAGGAAGCTTGGCCAGGAGGTCAAGGATAATTTATCTCTAAGACTGGTTTCTAATCAAGATTTCAGGAAAGCTGGGGCTTACCTGCTTCCCCCAATCATGTCTACCAACTCTGCATCCTGGTTGTGTCAGGAATGCACCAAAATCCAGGGTCTGGATCCCACAACAGCTCCAAGATTTCATCCTGAGGTAGGAAGATAATTCAACTGCATTCCCCCACATACAACCCCCTCACTCCCATCTTGTGGCCAATATTGGGAGAAACCCATCTCACAGCCCACAGTCCCCTTCCTCACCCCTCATGGAATCGAGGTGCTCCTGGGTGGTAGGTACATGGAGTAGCATCACTCTCAGGGCCTTGGTAAACCTAAGGATAAAGGAAAATCAGGAGAAGAATCAGGTCATTCTAAGGTATACCCCATTCAGCCGCATATCTATGCCCAGTCATCTCTCAGCCACATGCTTCAGCCCCTCAAAACTCTCACTCACAGCATCACATCCTGGATTCTGGCAGCTGGAACCAGTTCGGATTAGACTACTGTCAAGTCCTGGGCAAGGGAAACAGAGTCAGGAACCTATCCATTCCCCCACCCAACTGCCACTTCTACCAAATTCCAGCCGTGAGGCCTGTCTTGTAGGCCTGACCCACCTACCTGCCCCAGGTTCCTGGTCTAGTTCCTTCTGTTCCAATGCCATTTCCAGGGCTTGTGATATATTTAGTGGCAGCAGCTTCAGAGGCAACTCTGACCTAAGGGTTATAGGTGGTTGATTTAGTCCTGACCCAGTCACCATAATTTCCAACTTTAACACTTCCACCTATGGTAATAGAGTTGAAGAAATCCAATGAAAGTGAGGCAAGGTTGGAGAAGTTGAGTAGCAATCCTATTGCCAATTTTTATCTCTATGGATAGCCCAAATTCCTGAGCCCTGGAGAAATCCCCAGTGCTTCTTGCTCTTCTATTCAGTTGCTCTAAATCTGTCTACATTTCTCTGTAGAACTATGTCATTTCTTCTTCCTCCTTACCTAATTGTGAACCTAATGACTTTCGTTTGCTGCTCATATTATTGATACGAAATTAATTTATTCTCTGCAGTCTCTTGGCTGCCAATATGCATCCTTTTTCTTTCTTTTTTTGAATGGCTAATCAGACATGGATTTTTTTTTTTTTTGAGATAAGGTCTTCACTGTTGCCCTCAGTAGAGTGCCGTGGAGTCACAACTCATAGCAATCTCTAGCCTTTGGGTTTAAGCAATTCTCTTGCCTCAGCTGTCCAAGTAGCTGGGACTACAGGCGCCCGCCACAATGCTCAGCTACATCCTTTTCTTGATGCAAGACTTACCTTAAAGCTCTTTCCTAGAAGGAAAGAAATCAAGTCATTCTCAATAATTCCCCTCGTGTTATACTCTAAGTATATATTTCTGAGGGGATGTCTATTCTGTTGATTTATAAGTATCTAGTCCATCATCCCATACCACCTTAGAGTAAAGGACATTATTTCCAGACACAAATTTCTCTTAAGGCACAGGATATATACAACATCCAAACCTTGACACCTGGACCTCCTCACATCTCTGGTCCCCTAGCTCCCAAATTCCAATATCTATTAATCACTCCTAGGAACCTCCATGAAAAATGTGAAAAACCCAGGGGCCTCCTCCTCTTTACTTGGGCCTCTCCCTGCGCAAGGTCTCTGCTGACTTTGGAATCGCATTCAGAGGTTTTTGCTCCTGAAGTGAACTGCTTGTAGCAGGGCCCTCAGCTTGAGCGGCCTCAGGAAGCTTCTCAGCACAGTGTAGTCCCATAGTACAGCCCTAGTACAGATAAGGAAATAAAGATTAGGAGCAGTATCCTTCTATTAGAGGCAGAATCCAAGAAGTAAAAGATTTACCTTGATGTTTAAAAACTCAGAGAAATCTACAGTTCGCTTTTGGCAGCAGGACCAACCCTAATAACAAGAGACCCAAATCAGCTTATATTCTTGGGTATAACTCCTTCAGGAAATGTTCTTCCTATCCCCCTCACTTACTCCTCACCTTAAGCGCATCATGGAAGATTGGGACCCCAGGGTGATGGCAACAGGAATCTGTGGATACCAGAAGTATCAGAAAGAAAACCATACCAAATATTGCTTCTTACTTCTTTGTTTTATATGTTTATGGTTTCTTTCCATATGATGTAAAGAAAAAAAATCAGAAGTTGAAGATCACCCAGACTTAATAAAGTAGGGCAGGAATATTAAGTTTCTTTTCCTGCTCCTTAAACAGACTGCCTTAAAGATAGCTACCCACCCCCCAACACCTACACAGAGCCCCTAGCCAGGGCAGGATTATTTACTTACCAGGAAGGTTGGTGTTGGGGTCAAACTGCTGCCCACAGCCTTTGTTATGGCAGAGTAGAGACATAGAAGCGTTTATAGAATTACTGAAAGGGTATTTCAAGGAGTCTGGCTGCTGAGTGGGGAACACCTCTTAGACTGGAGGCTTTTAGCTGCCTGGAAGGGCCAGCTGTTTCTATCTTTGGTTCAGGAGGCGTACACCTCCTAACATGGGCAAGGGAACTTCAATTGGTCTTCCCAGCCAATAGGAAAGAGCTCACGAGCATTTCAGCTCTGAGGCTCAGAGGAGGAGGATCAGGCAGAGTAGGGCTTAGAACTTGGGTGAGGTCAGCTCACCACTGCTGAGACAGTTTTAGATTTACCATGCCAATTCCAAGCCTCTGACATACCAGCAGCTGCTCAGCAAAAAATACCAATTTTGAGACCCTCCCCCCAGTTCAATTAGAGTTGAATCCATTTTCTTCCTTTCAAAGGAATAGCTTTCCTCTATTCTCATTATTTCCATGTAGTGTTAACAGCACTGATCCTTGCCAATCACCTCAGCCATAATATGCATCTCATCCCCACAAACTTCCCATGTTTGTTTAATACTTTAATCAAAAGGTCATGAAGATTACCCTTATAGAGCCTACTGCTCATATCCTTAGAACTCCCCTCTTCTTTTCCCTCCAAAAACAGCACAGAAAATTAAAAGGCTTAAAATGTATTTTAATAAGTTGATGCTGCATTACTGCTCCATTTCTCAGAAAAACTCCAAATTTAAAGAATCAAGGACAAATCAAACATGGTACACCAATAAAAAATGCACAGCATAACTACCTAAGATAGGCAAGGCTAAGAGCTACTGTTGAGACCTTTAGCATACAGCAACCCTGTTCCCAAGATTGTACTAGGCCTATCAAGAAAAGCTGTGAACAGCAACATCATAGACACAAAAGGGTCATTCCTGGGTCATCTTTACCCAAGACAAGGATGGAGGCAAGTTAATACAAGATTTTTTTAAAGATAGACTAAAATGAAAATCTCTAAGAGAAAATGTCTTCCTTAAAGACATGAGGGGTAATAGATGGGACATAACAGAACCGTATGTTTGTCTGTGACCTCTGTGGACATTTGCCTGAATTCTCACCTGAAAGTGAATGGAGCAATGGGGCTAAGGTCATTGGGGGATGTCTGTTTTGTGGTGTTGTGTGGTAGTATCTCTGGGGTAGGGGGTGTAAGGGTAAGAAAACAAAATGGGATGGACAAAAAACGGAATGATCAAGATTAATGGGGCTCTAATTGGATCCATTTTGCCATGGTTCCCCTAGGCCCTCAACAATCACATTTGAGACTTCAGGAATGCACCAAATAGAACTGATTAAACAATATACCACATAGAACTCATTTGTTAAATATGGCCCCTCCCTTGCCCTCTGCCTCCAGCATACTCCCTAGAATAGTACAGGCAGGGTAGACCTAACTATTGGGGAGGAATCTCTAACACTTTTCCAGGATAGAATTCTGACTAGTCCAAAAAGGGTCCTTCTTTAAAGGGTTTTAAGAAACTAGACACTGCAACTTTATTAGTATCGGCGACGTTTGTTTGGAGCAAATTCAGCTCCAGGAGCTGCACGGTTGAATGCAGGAGGAGTTCCACCAATTGCCCCAATTCCTTCCATTGTAGCAGCTTGCCCAAAGCGTTCAGTTGTTGGTGGGGTCTTAAAGAGAAAAAGAGCAGAATATTATAAAAGAACATTTATTCTAAGATTCCCACCCATCTGTAGTCTCTCCACTGGCGACAATAGTTTCTACCCAACTATTCAAGGCTCCTGATGCTAGAGGTAGGTGAGCAAGTCTCAAGAATTCTAGTAGACAACCCTGAAAGGAAGGTTCTCTGCATTAGGGATTTACCCAGTCATCTTACTATTAACTTTTTAATCCATGTTCTTCACTATTGACTAAGCAATGTCACATACAGTACTAAATTCCTACTTTGGCTAAGTTTTAACCAAATCTTTTTTCCTGAATTAGGGATCTGGATAAGGGCAGGCCATCACTCTTTAGCAATGTTAAGCCTATCCAGTTTTGGTACTATCCATTTTGACACTAGAACGAAAACAACCTCAGGGTTGTTATGAGCCACAGAGCATTTGGATTCACCTTTTATACGATAATGAATAGATTTCATTGATTTTTCTTCCAAAAACAACCTGTTACCCAAAGTAGCACTAGCTGGTCATCTGCTTAACCCCTGAAGTATAATTAGAGACTGAGTTTGCTCTAGACTCAAAGACAAAGACCTTTTTTTTTGTTTTTGGAGGCAGAGTCTCACTATGTTGCCCTCAGTAGAGTGCCATAGCATCACAGCTCATAGCAACCTCAAACTCTTGGGCTTAAGCGATTCTTCTGCCTCAGCCTCCCAAGTAGCTGGGACTACAGGCGCCCGCCACAACACCCAGCTATTTTTTTGTTGCACTTGTCATTGTTGTTGCAGGTTCAAACCCGCCAGCCTCAGTTTATATAGCCAGCACCCTACCTACTGAGGTATGGCGCCACCAAAAAAAACACAAAGATCTTGAGGTACATTTAATACTAATAGTCTTAAAGACTGATATCTGTAACAAAAACTGAGGTAGGCCTAAGGGGTGTGAAGGCAAAGCCCTTTCTCCTCCTACCACCATTCAGAATTACTATAAGGCCCTGCAGTTAATTACCAATCCCAAGGTTCCATCCGGCATCATAGTGGCAGGTCCTGGAGGAGCTGGGGTACCAGCTGGCACAGGAGCAGGGGGCATGGCGCCTCTGTTGTTTATGCCCATAGCACCT